TATATAAATCTGTTTCCATTGCCTACCTGTCCATTAGGCAGAGGGTGGCAATGAGTTGGACCTGTCCAAGGAGCTCACGATCACCGAGCACATGTATACCTTAGAGGAGTTGGCCGATAAATTGCACACAAATATCGACTCCGGTATCACAGATACCGAGGCACAGATCCGACACGAAAGGGACGGACCCAACGCCTTCTCGCCGCCCAAACTGACGCCCGCGTGGGTCCTGTACCTCAAGGAGATGACCACCGGGTTTGCTATAATTATATGGTTGGCCTCCATCGCCAGTTTTATCTGTTATGGCATCGATTTGGTGCCACAGTATGTAAGTAGAGCTCAATAAATAGATTATAAATTAATTGTTTTTTTTGTGTGAAAATTTTGTTGACTTTCTAATTAAATTGAATTAATAATGGTGTATATGTTGATCAGTATTATCTAGGTATCGTATTAGCGCTGGTGGTGTTGATCACCGGCACCTACTCCTACTCACAACAAGCCAGTAGTTCCAAGATATTCGAGTCGTTCAAGAATATGGTGCCCCAGGTTTGTGACACTTTTGTATTATTAGTATTATTTAATGAAAATAAATAATAATTAACAAATACAGTATAAAAAATAATATTTAACCCTCAACACATTTAACGCCGTTAATTAAAATATACTTATTTTACAAATCTTTTATTAAAATTAAATCATTTGTTACTGTCTTAAATTTTGTATAAAACTTATAATAGTTTATTGTTAATTATACAAACAAGTGACACCAAGTAGTTTATTATGTTAATTATTTAACAATTTCATTATAATAATTACGGTAGCATATAATAAACATTAAAATTTTAATAGATAAATTAAATAATTGAATTTGAAAAATGATAAAACTTCATGTATTGTACGTATTAATAGCAAACTGCAGTCATAAGGGGTGGTGAACGAAAAGATGTCCCTGCTGACAAACTAGTCATAGGTGATCTGGTATACGTCAAAGCCGGCGATCGTGTACCGGCTGATATCCGCGTGATCCGGTGCGAGGCCATGAAAGTGGACAACTCGTCCTTAACGGGAGAGTCCGACCCCCTATTGAGGAACCCAGAGGTGGGTCACCCCAACGCCCTCGAGACTAAAAACTTAGCCTTTTTCTCGACTAACTGTGTGGACGGTAGTGGTTATGGTATAGTCATTTCAATTGGCGATCACACCGTGATGGGCAAGATTGCCAAGCTAGTCACGGGCATAGCCAGGGAGAAAACACCGATCGCTATAGAGATTAGCAGGTTCACCAAGATCATTACGTGTATAGCCATTGGAAATGGTGTCGTATTTTTTGCTATATGTATGGGCTTTGGGCTCACGTTTTTTGATGCCTTGATTTTCATGATTGGTATTATTGTCGGCAATATTCCCGAAGGTATGGAAAAAATTTTGTTTTATTTTTTAAAATTAATTAAATTTAAGATATTTCATGTTTTTATACAAAGTATATGTTGTATATGAAAATGATTTAAATAATATTTATAAGTGTTGTGCAATTAATAAACCATTTATATGAATGACTATTATTTTACTGTTATTTATGTAATTAAATAATTATACAATTGATATACAATTTATGAGATAGTATTGTATGAACTATAAGTTGTTTAGTCATTATTCTGAATTATTTTCCATTGTTTTTGTAATAACTTATTGCAGCAATTATTAGTAATTATTTCATTATAGTAATAAGATACAGTATATTATTATTAATTGACTTTAAAATATAATTTAAAAATTTAAAAATATTTAACTTATTAACTTTAAAATAATAAATTTGTCTCAAAATAGATAGCTAGAGATAAACTAACGAGAAGAGGCTGTAACAGTTATCATATAAACATGCACAGTTATAAAATAAACATTTAATGTTTAACATTAGTTCCAGTTTATTTTATATTTCTAAAATTATACTTATTAAAAATGACTTACTTTAAATTTATTTTATTTACATTTAGACTGTTATAAATTATAAATAACAAATTTATTAAACATAAAAAATATACTTGATAATAAATTGGTCGTCAACAGAGAAAAATATCATATTGTTTACTATATTCATTATTATCATAAATATTTCTACCAAATACCAGGTTTACTACCAGCGCTGACCGTAGCCCTCACCCTAACCGCCAAGCGTATGGCGTCCAAAAATTGCCTTGTTAAATATCTCGAGGCTGTCGAGACCTTGGGCTCCACGTCCGTCATATGTTCGGACAAAACGGGAACCTTAACCCAAAACCGGATGACCGTTGAGCACCTATACTTCGGATCCCAGATATACCGAGTGAGTCATGTGAAGGAGGAGGTGGACCAGGACATGGCCGACGTGCAGGAGGCGTACGAAGCGTACGCCCGGTGCTGTCGACTCTGTTCCCGAACCGAATGGATCGACAATAACCCGGATGTCATGAAGCGGGCGGCGGCCGGGGATGCCTCGGAAACGGCTATATTAAGGTTCATGGAGTCGGTGTCCGACGGCCCGGTAATGGACTTCCGCAAAAAGTACCCCAAAGTGGCGGAGCGACCCTTTTCGTCGGTCACCAAATACCAGTTCTCCGTTCATAGGAACTCCACGCCCGACCCCTCCCTGAACAACCATTTCATACTAGTCATGAAGGGAGCGCCGGAGCGTATCATAAAATTGTGCTCGACCATTATTATAGCATCGGGGGAGTCGGTGCCGATGACCGATGCCTTTGTGGATCAGTTCGAGAACGCCTACCGGGAGTTGGGGTCGATGGGGGAACGGGTGCTCGCCTTTTGCGATACGGAGTTAACGCAGTTTCCCGAAGATTATAAGTTTGATTTGGACAACGATCAAAGTTTTGAGCTTGATAATTTCAGGTTCTTGGGCTTGGTGGCGCTTATCGATCCACCCAGGTATGTTTTATTTATCATAAATTTTTATAGTAAATTACAAATTAAGAAATTACAGTACATTGAATAGTATTTTTAAATTAAGGCTATTTAACAAAATCTTTTTATACTTATAATTATTTTAATTTAATTATTTTGCATCTATTCGTTGGTAATATTTAAATATAAGCTGTAAAAATATATCAAATAAATAGTGTAATCATATAGTTTTATTATATTACAAGTGTTTTGTCAATGGCAATCATTTTGATTTAATTTATTTTAAATTATAAATATAAGTATATAATTAGTGCGCTTAAATTAATAAATTAATAATAATTAAACGAATATTTTGAAATATTTGAAATATAATAACAAATACATCATATACAGTATTATTTTATTAATTGACACATACCTTTATCTACCAGAGCCTCCGTGCCCGATGCAGTAGCTAAATGTCGTACCGCTGGCATCAAAGTGATCATGGTGACTGGTGACCACCCAATCACCGCCCAGGCTATTGCCAAAATGGTGGGCATATTCACTGTATCCCACCGTAGGTCCACCCGTATATCTATGCCCACCGTCGATGCGGTGGGTCGGGGCACCTCAGCCTCCATTGTGGTACCGGGCGATGAGTTGGCTGCGATGACCGAGGATGAGCTCCGGGATATTTTGCGCGATTACAGAGAGATAGTGTTTGCCCGGACATCACCGCAACAGAAGTTACGTATTGTAGAGAACTGTCAATATTTGGGTCAAATCGTTGCCGTCACCGGCGATGGCGTTAACGATTCGCCGGCACTTAAAAAGGCTAACATCGGTGTGGCGATGGGTATCACAGGTGGGCCACAATATACCCTACAAATTATTTATAGTTTTAGTGTTTAACGATTTAATTTACATTATTAGCTATATCATTTTATAATCGCAACAACAAACTGTAATTAATTATAATATTAATTCGTTAGTTGTTTGAATATAAAATTAATTCATTGTGTGGGTATTAAATACATACAAACCTTATTTTAAAAGTTAATATACATTTTAATTTTTATGAGTTATTTTAGTATTA